GGGGGAGTAGGCTGGGGCCAGCATTGTCAGGAGAAAGCCAAGGATAGTGGGAGCTTTGCTTGTCAGAGGTTTGGGAAGGTGTAGACCCAGGGACCCCAAGCCGAGCTGTTTTTGCAAGTTGCTGGAGCCCTGGGTTGTAGTTCCTGCTGGGGAGTGGGCTTCCCTACCCGCTGACCTGAGTAGCCTCTCATGGACTCTGGCCCAGACCAGCTCTGGACCCATCCACTCCACCATTGAAGACTGAGGTCCTCAGCTCTGCCCAACACTAGCTCCAGGGTGTAGGGCAGGTCCCTACAAGAATCCCTCAGATCAGGAAATGCCTGTACCTGCCCCTTCCATCTTTGTCCAGTCCCCGAGGACCAGCTCCCATGTATGGACTCAGCATCCCATGGCACAGCCTGGGATCCTCGAGCCCCCTCAGGCAAGTCACCCAAGCCCTCAGTCTGTGCGGTAGAACCAGTGTCAGCCTCATAGGTTCCTCAAGATGCAAGATGGAGCCATTCTTCTGGCACACAGTAGGTGTGACATGGGTATTTGGTGCAGCTTTTAGCCACAGCTCTCTCCTCTCCCCCCACCCCACCCGCGGAGATAGACACACAGCAGGCAAGGCCTCCTGGGGCCGCCTGCAGGCTCTGCAGGCCCTGAGTGCAGAGTTGCCCCAGACCTCTCCACCAGTTCCTTTGGGGCCGGGGGGATCGGGCCCTCGGTGCTGCCTTAGCAGGATGCCGATTTGTGTTTTCCCACAGCCAAATCACAGCAAAGGCACTTGTTACTGCTGAACCTATTAAGTGTAATTATGGCGCTCTCGGTGGGAACGTGTAATTACATTGGTGGCTCTGTGCCATGCTGCACACCGTGCTGTGGGCCAGGGGCTGCCAGAATCCCCAAGGCTGCAGGGAGAAGGGTCGAGGCTGGCTTCCAGAGTCCCACAAAGGAGGGGTACACAGGGCATGACCTCTTGCTTTTCATCGCTGAGTCCACCTACCTGTAAATATAGATAGAGGCGCCGAACTTCCCCAGACCCTGTCCCTTCCCTGACCCGATCACAGCACAGTCCTTGCCAGTTTGTCACCCATGAGATTGGAGCCCCTCAAAGGTGGGGCTGCATGGGCCCTGGCCCCTGTGCCCCCACATAGCCAGGTACAGGGTGGGTGCTCGGGGCTACTTTATGGAGCACAGCCATGTGCCAGGCAGGGGTCCTGCTGCCTTGGTCACCTCCTTGATCCATGAACACATCACCAAGGGGAACATGGGGAGGGGAAGCAGAAGGGCACTGATCTGAAGGTCAAGCAGCCAGGATGTGCTGCAGCTATCACCCCAATTCAGTCCCCACAAGGCCAGGCAGGGTGGGGGCTGCAGGGCCCAGCCTCAGATTTCCCAGGACTATCTGCTGACAAGTGGTACTTTCCAAGCTCCCCCTGTCCAGCTTCAGCGTGGGTTGGGGGCCCTTGCTCTCTCTAACCTGAGCAGGGCAGACCAGAAAGCCCACCTTAGGGTGAGGGTGGTTCCCAGTGGGCAGGTATCCTGACGTGGGGGTGGCATGGGGGATACATGTAATTCCCCCAAAGCCCTGGAGACCTTCCAGCGTGAAGGGTATAACTACTTGTATCCACAGGGTTCAGGTGAAGCCTCAGCCGTCCATCTAGGGACACCCCCCTCACAGCCTTGGTCCCCATCCTGGTGGCCCTGGGCTCCCACCTGGCCTTGCTGACCTGGGACCTGGGACCTTCCCTCATACCTGACACGGCTGGCCCACCACAGGGCTCCCTGATTTCCAGATGAACCAGCTGGTACAGGTGTGGGGGTGCACTCCTCCCGGAGGCAGCCACTAAGGGGACCATGCCACACCAAGGCCTGCATGACGCCACGGTGCCATCTGGTGGCCACTTTCTGAATGGGCAGGAGCTCTCACTGAGGTCCCGGGTGGCCTCTTGTACCCAGGGCAAGCAACCCACGGGGTGGCTGAGGCACCTGTGCTGGGTACACACGGCACCTGAGATGCAGCGGACTGAACTGACCCAAAGCTCACATCCTCCTCAGCACTGTAGTTGGGGCTTCGTCCGTCTGCTGGAGTCACGGGGGGTCAGTACAGAGTCATGGGGGGCTCTGGGGTCCCCCTCACAGTCCATGGGCACTTCCTGGAGTCCAGACTGGGCAGCACCTCTGAGATGCTCACCAGTGTGTGCGACCTCAGTTGAGGTCACTGTAGTTGGGAGAAATCTGATGGAGGGGTAGCAGGTGGCCTTTAAGCTTCCATCTAGCGTCCCATTCTGTGTCTGTTTTTCCTGTGTACACAGGGGTTGGTGGTGTATTTGAGGCTAGTGCCCAGGCTCCTTCCCTTAACACTCAGATGATGGGGCAGGTGCAGGGTGTGGAGGGCTTGGCAGTGAGGGGGTTTGGGGCAGGTCCTGGGGTCGAGCTTCCCCGGGGCTATCTACCAGCCTCCTGCATGGACCCTTAACTCAGCTGCCTGCCCCACGTGGTTTGAGCACGTCAGCATGCTGGTCATCATGCTCAACTGCGTCACCCTGGGCATGTTCCGGCCTTGCGAGGACGTCAAGTGCCGCTCGGAGCGCTGCAGCATCCTGGAGGTAGGGGCCTGGCAGATGGGGGCTGGGCTGGCCCCTTTGCCACGATTGACCCTTAGGGACACCCTCCTCCTTGGGTGTGGAGGGCACAGGTCCCACCCTCAGACCCTTCTCCCACCAGGCCTTCGACGACTTCATCTTCGCCTTCTTCGCGGTGGAGATGGTCATCAAGATGGTTGCCCTGGGGCTGTTTGGGCAGAAGTGCTACCTGGGTGACACGTGGAACAGGCTGGACTTCTTCATCGTCATGGCAGGGTACAGCTCTGTGCTGCCCACAGCCCCGCTCTGCTAGGCCAGGGCTGGCGCGGGGGCTGAAGCACCTGAAGTGGCCCCTTGCCTGGCCAAGAACCCCACCCCCTCCGACTCCATGGGTGGCCTTGGGTCCCCCAGGAGGAGGGGTGAAACAGGTGCACTCTGGAGGGGTCTGGGTGCAGCCTGGTCAGGGTGGCTGGAGGTGGGAAGCCAGTATGGTCTCTGCCGGGAATGGACACTTGTCCTGGGGATCCTGTGCCAGCAGCAGCAATGGTGGGTGGACATGGAGTGTCCAGGAGGGCGAGGAGTGCCCCGTGGTGATTCAGGGTCATGCTCTTCCTGCCTCACGCTCCAGCCTGGCTGAGTGCACGGCTTGGGGACCAGCTCTTTAGCGTGTGGTCACCTGCCCACCGCCTGAATCTCCCTCCCTCTGTCCTCCCCAGCATGATGGAGTACTCCCTGGATGGACACAACGTGAGCCTCTCGGCCATCAGGACAGTACGTGTGCTCCGGCCCCTCCGCGCCATCAACCGTGTGCCCAGTAAGTGACGACCCCTCCCCGACCTGGGGCAGGCGTTTATGTCCTGCCAGCCCTGCTGAGAGCTCTCCAGGGCCCACTGGGACACAGAACCAGGATGCCACACTTGCTATATGGGTTCTGGACATTCTGGCTCCTGCGCCAGGGGAGGAGGGACTGTTAGCCCTGAGCATTTGCCAGTTTTTCTGGGAAGGACAGAGCAGCCCTTGGGATATTATGGGCAGGCTGTGGGGATTCTGACTCCTCATCCGCACAGCATTTCGTGTGATACTTGGTGAGGGGGCACTCACAGGCCCAGTGGCTTCGTTTTCTCGCCCATTTCTGTGGTTCTCATGGTCAAGCTCTGCCAGAGACTTGTGGTCCTTCAGGGAGGTGTAGAGAAGTTCTGGGAAGTTACGCGGCTGCTTGTTGGGAAGATGGCCTGTCCTCACACTAGTCATCTGCCCAATTGGGGGTGGTTTGGGATTTATCGGTGACTTCAGAGTGTTCAGTGCTGTGGCTGAATTCAGGGGGTATTGCCCATGTGACTGTAAGGTAATGTGTGTATATGCGGTGGGAGGAGTCTGTGTGTACCGTGTAGCTGTGTACCCAGCCTTTATGGCTACCTGGTGGCCTTGACACCCAAGCCCATGTTCTTAGGACTTGTCCTGCAGCCCTCCCTGAGAAGTCACATGCCCCTAGGGTAAGTGTTCCCTTCTGCTGGGGCTGTCAACTCCACCAAAGGGCAGGTGGGTCAGAGTTGTGCTGTGGGAACCCCCCACCCAGCCCCTTTCCAGTGTAGGGCTCTGCTCCATCGTGATTCACACAGGGATGGAAAGAGTGTTCCCCAAGCCCCTACCAGCTGCAAGACCCCAAGACTCCCAAGCATGGAGGCAGACCAAAGCCCAAGCTGGTGGCGGTCCCCAAGGTTGCTGCTCCTGTGACGGAGCTGGGCCTGCTGGACTCGTAGCCAGTCCTGGGACCTAATGGGATATGGTCCTGGCCATGATTCAAAAGGAAGAGCATTGTGCCTGTCCTGCGACCCTCATGACCAGCAGCCTTGCTCCCCTTGGTGTGGGCCTGACCCAGAGGCCTCATTGTCCCTTGGGGCCTGCTGGACATGTGCAGTCCCCTGCAGAGCCACACTACTCACTTGTGAACAATGGGATGGCTTAGTTGGGGCTGGGAGCCCAGGGGACGCTCCATAAGGTCCCGTGCTGATGCCTAGATTGCCACTTGCAGGCATGCGTATCCTGGTCACACTGCTGCTGGACACCCTGCCCATGCTGGGGAACGTGCTCCTGCTGTGCTTCTTCGTCTTCTTCATCTTTGGCATCGTGGGCGTCCAGCTGTGGGCCGGCCTGCTGCGCAACCGCTGCTTCCTGGACAGCGCTTTCGTCAGGTACCAAGCGCCACCCGCCAGCAAGTCACGCCCAGCAGGCTCTTCTCGCCCCGCCCCCAGAGGTGCCTCCCCTCCAGCCCCGCCCCCAGGGGCACACCCCTCCTGGAATACCTCTAGCTTGGGCCTGGGCTTCTGGCTTCTGGATCTCCGTCTCTATCTCTTACCTTTGTTTTTATATCTGTTATTGTCTGATTTTCTGTTTGTCTTTCTCTGTTTCCTCGCCTCTCTCACTGTTCCTTGGCATCCCCCATTGTCTGTCCCTCACCCTCCCTTTCTCTCTCTCTGTCCCTGTGCCCCTCACTGGGCCGCCTGTCCCCAGGAACAACAACCTCACCTTCCTGCGGCCATACTACCAGACAGAGGAGGGCGACGAGAACCCCTTCATCTGCTCCTCACGCCGAGACAACGGCATGCAGAAGTGCTCGCACATCCCCAGCCGCCGTGAGCTGCGTGTGGAGTGCACGCTGGGCTGGGAGGCCTATGGGCAGCCGCAGGCCGAGGGCATGGGCGGCATCGGCCACAATGCCTGCATCAACTGGAACCAGTATTACAACATCTGCCGCTCCGGCGACTCCAACCCCCACAACGGCGCCATCAACTTCGACAACATTGGCTACGCCTGGATCGCCATCTTCCAGGTGGGCACTAGCTTTAGACTATGTGGCCTGTGGCCTTTGTTTCCCCACCATGTTGGGTGCTGAGCATGCAGGGCCATGGGGGTAGGGGGGAGCCAGCAGGTCTTTCTTGCCCTACCAGCCCCTGAGGGGACACAGGCCTGCCGCCCTCCCAGGGCCATTTGTGTGTCCAGCTGCCTGCCCCCCCACAGGTGATCACCCTGGAGGGCTGGGTGGACATCATGTATTACGTCATGGATGCCCACTCCTTCTACAACTTCATCTACTTCATTCTGCTCATCATCGTGAGTATGGGGCGTGGCAGGTGTCCCAGTTGGCAGGGCAGGACTTTCACAGCCTTGGGTATTAGTGGGTGGAGGTTCCTCTGAGTTGTGACAGCTAATCTCAGATCCATAAACTCCTTAATGGACGCCGTCCTGGTCCCCAGGGTCCATTCATGAGTCTGCTTGCGCCCCCAATGCACTCCACCCCAGCCTTTGCTGTCCCTCGTGGGTCCCGGCATTGGCTGAGCTATAAGGTTGGGCAGCAAAGACCCAGGACTACCCTTGGGCTGCCAGCCGACAGGTGGGGGCCTATGGTGGGCACAGGGCTTCCACGCAGTCCCCGGTGGGAGGAAGTGGGAAGGTGTAGGAGGATAGAGGCCAGCATGGGTGGGAGGGAGAGCCCACTCCAGGAGGCCTCAGGTAGCACCCCAGGCCCTCCCATGGTCAGGTCCTGTCTGGAGATTACAGAAGAATCAGGACTGTGCACAGTGTACATTACGTCCCAGGCACGGCCCTCCGCAGTGTACGTGGCCTCAGGTGTGTCCCTCACTTGATCTGGGCAGGGTCTGTCAGGACTCAGCAGTAACCAGAATAGCAGACATCCGTCCTTGTGTCAGATAATTGTCACGAGCAGAGGCGAGTTTTGCATGGTGACCCATGTTGCAGAGGAAGGCCTGACTGGAAAGAGCAGGGTGGCCACAGTCTAGAGTCTCTCATCAGGGTCAGACCTGAGGAGGAGGGGGCAAGCTTCACAGATGATGGAAAGGAGGGTCTCCCCATGTGTCCTCCATCTGGCCACAGTAGATGAGAAGCACCTACTGTTAACCGCCTGTCCCAGATGCTGGGCTCAGCATCAAGTCAGCAGTGACCCCACATCACGGGCACCTCCACTGGCCACACTTAGGGCCATACCCCTGGCCCCTGGAATGGGTGATGCACAGCAGGCCTCACTCTTTCTCTCAGCAGGGACTCAATCACTGTAGTATAGAAACCACAGTCACTGCCCGGCCTCCGGGGCAGATGGGTCTCCATGTCCCCTCTTCCCCAGTTCCCTGGGGCACACAGCCTGGTGAGCGAGGCCCTGGACGGGCTGTCGGAAGGCTCAACACCGCCCGCCCGCCACAGGTGGGCTCCTTCTTCATGATCAACCTGTGCCTGGTGGTGATCGCTACGCAGTTCTCAGAGACGAAGCAGCGGGAGAACCAGCTGATGCGGGAGCAGCGCGCCCGCTACCTGTCCGATGACAGCACGCTGGCCAGCTTCTCAGAGCCGGGCAGCTGCTACGAAGAGCTGCTCAAGTACGTGGGCCACATCTGCCGCAAGGTGAAGCGGCGCAGCCTGCGCCTCTATGCACGCTGGCAGAGCCGTTGGTGCAAGAAGGTGGACCCCAACAGTGCCCTACACGGACAGGGCCCCGGGCACCAGCCGCGGCGGGCAGGCAGGCGTGCAGCCTCCATTCACCATCTGGTCTACCACCATCACCACCACCACCACCACCACTACCACTTCAGCCACGGCAGCCCACGCCGGCCTGGCCCTGAGCAGGGCACCAGAGACGCCAGTCTGGTACAGGCTAGAGCACTGCCCTCACCACCCTCACCTGGCCCTGGGCCACTCGATGCCGAGTCAGTGCACAGTGTGTACCACGCAGACTGCCACGTGGAAGGGCCACAGGAGAGGGCCCAGGTGGTGCAAGCTGCGGCCACCAACAACAACCTGAAGCTGGCCATGGGGCTGGGCGCCATGAATTACCCCACCATCCTGCCCTCAGCAACTGGTGGTGGCAAAGGTGGCACCAGCCCTGGGCCCAGGGGAAAGCGGGCCAGTAGGACACCGGGAGCTGGAGGGCATAGCTCCCTTAGCCTGAGCAGCCATGACCCCTATGAGAAGATCCAGCATTTGGTTGGGGAACATGGTAAGGACCCCAGCCTCACCCTGCTGAGAATGCAGTGGGATCCAGGGATGTTGTCCCCACCTGTATGCTCTTCAGGGGGGCCCTGGACACCCTCATGAGCCCTGCTGGTGTGTTGTTTTTTTTTGGCACCCTAGAAGAGGGGAGTGGGAGGGGCTCTGGCACCTCGCACTCTGACACGGCAAGGACGGGGGAGAGGGTACCCCCTCTGTCCACCCTGTAGTGGCTCCAAGCAGCCGTTGGCTCAGTGGACCATGAGCATTTGCCACATGGATGAGAATTCTGAAGGTGGCAGAGTATTGCCCCAACCTGGCCCCAAGAGGGACCGTCTGCCCATGTTCACAACCTGGCCACCTCTCCCGAGGAGTGCTCAGCCCCACTTCTGGGTAGGGAGACGCAGGCAGAGGGAGTGGGGAGGAGTACAGGTTACAGTGCCCCTAAGCGTTGGGGTCAGGGGGCCAGGTGCCCCTCACCATTTCCCACCTGGGGCCTCTGCTTCACCCACCTCAGATGGGTGGTCTGAGGGGACACCGGGTCCCATGCAGATTGTGAGGCCTCCCAAGTGGTGTGTGCAAGTGTGCAGACCGCAGTGCACCTGGCACAGGCAGGGCGTATGCCTGGGTCATTGTGCGTGCTCGTATGCACCGTGCCCGGGATGTGAGAGCCAGTGTGTCTGAGTGCACATGCTTCTAGCCCTGCTGCCCATTAGGCGGCCTGGGCCTCGTGGGCCCTTGAGTGGTAGTGAGTCCAAGCCACAGCTTTGGGTGCAGAGTGCACCTGGGTCCCAGAAACTGAGCGCAAGGAAATGGTCCATAGTACTCCTCAGGCGTTCCCACGTCTGACCTGTGTGGGAGTGTTGGTGGTTGGTGGGTCAGATTAGGTGGTGTTGAAGTTAATTTTTCACCTTTAACATGGCTGCTAAAAAGTCGCTCACATTACATTTCTGGATGGTGTAGCCCTAGGAGAGGTGAGCTTTTCTGCCCCTCTTGTGTCCCTGCCCCTGTGTGTGAACAGAGCACACCTGTATAGGGTGTGCATGAATGTGCCCATGTGTATATGTGTGTGTTTCTAGGTGTGCACATGAATGTGTCCAGGGGAGTGTGTGTTTCTAGGTCTGAGTGTGCCCGGGTGTGTACTGTTCACCCTACAACAGCCTCTGTGTGGGCGTGGGTCCACCCCAGGTGTGACCACTGAGTGGCCTGACCCTGCCTGTGCCCTTCACCCCTCAGGACTGGGCCGGGCCCCCAGCCGCCTCTCAGGCCTGAGTGTGCCCTGTCCCCTGCCCAGCCCCCAGGCGGGCACGCTGACCTGCGAGCTGAAGGATTGTCCGTACTGCGCTAGCGCCCTGGGAGACCCTGAGTTTGAGTTCAGCGACTCAGAGAGCGGAGACTCAGACGGCAACATGGTCTATGAGTTCACACAGGACGTGCGGCACGGGGACCACCGTGACCCCATGCAGCCGACCCCAGGGGGGGACACACCCGCCCAGGGCGGTGTGCGGAGGCGGGCACAGCAGCGGATGGCCTCTGGCAAGCATGGCGGGCTTGGCCGTGTGTGGGCTGCTGTCAGTGGCAAGCTGCGCAGGATCGTGGACAGCAAGTACTTCAACCGCGGCATCATGATGGCCATCCTCACCAACACGCTGAGCATGGGCGTTGAGTACCACGAGCAGGTGGGTGGGCCTGGGATGCGTGCCCGCAGTGGGAGGCGGGACTTGTCATGACCCCTGGGGAGCGCATTCCTTGTGTGTCTCCTTGAGGTTTTAGCCTCTTGTGGACCCGCATTGGGGTTGTGGAGGATGGGGGGCAGAGGTGTTGTTGGAGCCAGATGCTTTTTATCAGTTACTCAACAAATGCTCATCTCTCCTCCTTGGGTTGGTTCTCTGCCGAATGGGAAACAGAGATACCGTGGCTCCTACCTGGAGTTTCTCGCATCTGGGGTGGGGGTTGAGACCACCACAGACCCAGAGGCAGCAGGTCATCTGGTGGCTCTCCTCAGGAGGGGACCCCCAACCCAGTTCTGACAGAGAGAGGCCCCCCCTTACCTGAGCCAGACCGGCTGGCAGCTCCTGCTGGGGTGCCTCTTGGTAACCAGAAGAGGTGGTGATGCAAAATGGCCTGGGAGGAGCCATTCCCACGGGTGGCGCCCGGTCCCCTAGGTGCCTGGATGCTGTAGACCCTGCACCCTGGCGCTGGACAGGGCCACACAGGGAGGGCAGCAGCCAGGTCTGGCAGATGGTGTCCTCTCAGGGCCAATGTCAGTTTACTTTTAATGACCAAGCTGACTTCCTCATCTCCTACCCGTTGGTCTCTTCAGGTCACTTAAGCCATTTTCTTTTGTCCTGGAGCAGTTAGGGGAAATCCAAGCAGTGTCAGCCCAAAGCAGGCCTGGCCAGGAGGGTCTTTTTGTGAGGGTGAGATCCAGGTCAGGGACAGCAAGGGGCTTAGAGGGACCTTGGTATGGAAGAGCCTCCACCACACGTGCACACAACACATACAAAGGTATGCACATGTACACAATCATACATAGCCACAGACATATGTACGCAAGGCTTACCTGTCCAACTGTGAACATGTATACAGACACGCACACATGTGCAGCCATGTACACATCCACCGTGTGTGCATGTTTTCAGGCGTGCACACACAAGCAGGTCACACTGGTACACGGACATGGACATGGACACACATGTAAGCATTTACACTAGCACAGGTGTGCACGTGTGCACACACATGCTGGTGTACACACACACACACAGGTCAGAATGCCCCCAGTAAAGGTGGGCCTCTGGGGCCTTCTGCCAACAAGTAAGGGTGTGTAAGGTCTCCAAAGACCAGGGCAGCTTTTGGAGACACCACCCTTACTGTCTGTGCCCCAGGCACCCCCACACCCACCCTGAAGCCTGGCACAGATGCTCCAGGCCCTGTTCCCTTGGCCTGTGCTTGGGGGCCCGGGGAGTCTTCAGAGCCCCAGTGCACAGATGTGCTGGTGTTAAGGTTAGGAAGGGCCTGGGGGCCAAGCCAGAGACAGTGATGGAGGGAAGGCTGGATGGGCCAGGGTCTCACTGGAGGGGACATCCCTAGGGCCTAGCTTCCTTCTTCAGACAGCAGCTGATAGGTTCCTAAGATGCCTACTATGACCTTGGGGCCTTTGGCCCCTTGATGCAGCCTTACCTGCTCCGCACCTGTGGGGGCAGTGACACTTCTCCCCTGATGGTCCCTCTGCTGCCCATAGCCGGATGAACTGACCAATGCCCTGGAGATCAGCAACATCGTGTTCACCAGCATGTTTGCCCTGGAGATGCTGCTGAAGCTGCTGGCCTGTGGCCCACTGGGCTATATCCGGAACCCCTACAACATCTTTGACGGCATCATCGTGGTCATCAGGTGGGTCCCCACCTCTCACCCAGGCCACAGTCCCTGGAAGCTCTAGTGTCAGAGAGCAGAGTCTCAGTCAAAGGGAGAGGCACTTCTGGCAGCATTTTCTGGCAGGCTATGGAGATGGGATGTCAGGTATATCTGAGTCCCTCCCCACAGGCACTGTGGGGGACACATGGTTAGGTCAGCTGCTTGTCAGACATATGTTGCTAGAATCTATTAGAGCTGTTCCCTTCAGGAATAGAGTGGATGTTCAATGGCCCTTCAGCCTCCTGGCTGGTCTCTGCTTAGGGCTCAGCCCTTGCTTGCCTCTGGGGTTTCTGCTGCAGCAAAATCCACACACAAAAGGGGCAGGAAAATCTGAGGAAAGTTCCTGAGGAGGAAGTGGTGCCCTTGGGAGTCAAGGGGTCTCCACCCTAGCAGGGAGGGGGTTGAGCAAGAATAGAGGAGCCAGGTGTGGCTGTGAAAGGTGCAGGATGGGAAGGTACTCAGTTGAGAAGCTTCTGTCCCAGCCAGAGCCAGGGATGGCAGCTGGTTAGTTGGCTTCAGAGATGTTGCCACAGTCCTTCAGCCCCCCTGGGCACCTGTTGCAGCCAGACCTGCTGCTCATCATGGGTTTGAGTACAGGCCACTGTGGCTCCCAGGCTGACATTCCTGCTTCTGGGAAGAGGGAGTCTGGAGTCAGGGTCAGGGCAGGGATCCGTAGTCAGAGAATGGCACCTCCTGACCCTTGGCCTGGCCCACAGCGTCTGGGAGATCATCGGGCAGGCGGACGGTGGCCTGTCGGTGCTGCGGACCTTCCGGCTGCTGAGGGTGCTGAAGCTGGTGCGCTTCATGCCTGCACTGCGGCGCCAGCTGGTGGTGCTCATGAAGACCATGGACAACGTGGCCACCTTCTGCATGCTGCTCATGCTGTTCATCTTCATCTTCAGGTGGGCCCCCCACAGAGGAGACCCCTCCCTACTGCACTGGCCTTGTGCTCCTGGCTTTGGGGCCACAGGGTAGGGGGTGGGCAGGAGCCTCAGAGGTTGTGCAGAAGCCCAGTCACTGGTTCCTTCACCCAAACAGAACTGATTGGGTGCCTTCCACGTGCAGGCGTGAATCACATGAGACACCAGGCTGAGCTTTGCTCTTGTGGGCCGACAGCTGGGTGTGGGGACAGGATGGACTGCCGGATGGATAGATTGGGGACTGAGCAGAAAACAAGGGGACTGGAGAAGGGGTGGGGCAACCAGGCTGGAGTTCATTTGTTGAGCTCATGCAGTGCCAGCCTGGCCATGATTCGGGACTCAGGCCTCAGGGCGAGGCTGGGGCAGAGGGCAGTCCAGGCAGGCTGAGTGAGACAGGTGCTCCAGGTCCCTGGCACTGCCTGGAGCCAATGTGGCCTCTGGTTGTCCCTCCCTCTCCTGGCCTTGGTCTTCCCACCAAGGATGTGAGCACTGGGAGGTCCCTGTAAACCAGAAAACAGAGGGCCCAGCGGGGGGGAGGCATAGAGAAGTAGCTGCTGGGTTTGAAGGTGACCACAGACAGAGTGGCTCCCCTGCCTCACCCCACTCCTGCCTCCCACCCTCAGCATCCTGGGTATGCACCTCTTTGGCTGCAAGTTCAGCCTGAAAACAGACACTGGAGACACAGTGCCTGACCGGAAGAACTTTGACTCGCTGCTATGGGCCATCGTCACCGTGTTCCAGGTAAAGCCTGGGTGGGGGCTGTCCCCTGATGTAAATGTGGCCCCAGGAGAGCCACAACCCTGCTCAAAGCAGCCCCAGTGCATGCCTTGGCCTGGGCAAGGCTAGAGCAGTTGAGCTGTGAACTGCAGTAGGGACAGCAGTTCCGTCCCCTGGGATGGTGGTCTTGTTCTCGCTGGTGCAGAGCTCCTTCTGGTTCCGAGGAGTTGCCGGCATGTCCAAGGTGGGGTTAACCCCCAGCGCCCCTCTGTTCCCACCGTGTCGGCCCCGTCCCCGCTCTGCCTCGCTGTCCTTCCCCAGATCCTCACCCAGGAGGACTGGAATGTCGTCCTCTACAACGGCATGGCCTCCACCTCCTCCTGGGCCGCCCTCTACTTCGTGGCCCTGATGACCTTTGGCAACTACGTGCTCTTCAACCTGCTGGTGGCCATCCTGGTGGAGGGCTTCCAGGCGGAGGTGAGGGGGACTTGCAGGAGGTGGGAGCCCGGCACGTTCGACACAGACTGACATGGAGAGGCCCCTGTCCTCTCATCTTGTCGGCCTGGCCTTTCGTCGCACCCGCCTCCACACCAGCCCTGCCTCCCTGTGGGAAGCTCCACCGGGGGGTTGCTTGGCACAGATGGCCTCCACCCAAAGGGAGCCTCACACATGCCTTCTGCCCTGCGGGGCACAGGGTGACGCCAACAGATCTGACACAGATGAAGACAAGACATCCACTCACCTGGAGGAGGATTTCGACAAGTTCAGAGACCTCAGGGCAGCAGGTATATGTGGGGGGGATTGAGGGGGCAGTGCCTGCCCTGACCTGGCAGAGAGGGGACTCCCCTGGGCCAGTCCTGGGCAGGCAGATTCCCCTTCCCAAGAGCCCTGGAGGCACAAGTGGCCCCTCCTCCCCCAGAGATGAAGATGTACTCCCTGGCCGTGACACCCAACGGGCACCTGGAGGGCCAAGGCAGCCTGCCCCCTCCTGTCATCATGCGCACGGCAGCCACGCCCATGCCCACCCCCAAGAGCTCCCCAAACCTGGACGCGGCCCATAGCCTCCTGGACTCTCGGCGTGGCAGCAGCAGCTCCATGGACCCTCAGCTGGGGGACCAGAAGTCTCTGGTAGGGACCGTCCCCTGCCCTGGCCTCAGGGCACCTTTAGGCTTCACGTGCCCAGCTCCTTAAGGCCTTCCCCGAAGATGAGTGAGGGTCCCACATGC